CCCACGACCGCGGCCGGAGGGTTGTTGGACGCGGTCACTGGAGGTGCGACCGCGGGTGAGAGACTCTGAGGTGGTTCAGTTGTTTCATCTTCTCCTTTGCCTTCTAAATGGTTTTTTGGATCTTCCAACTCTATCTCCTCTTCTCTTTGGTCAAGATCTTTGATGGGAAGTGTCGAACCATACGTTTCCCGCCCTTGCATAAGCTTTTCGACTTTCTCTTCGACTTCATCAAGAGCATAGACTACTTTGTCCACGGTTGAGTCGATCTCTTCTGCTTTGTCCCGAACCTTGTATACTCCATCCAAAATCTCTTCCACGTAGGAGTAGGTCTGGTTGTTATGATCATTGATAGTTTCTTTTGCTTCATCGAGTTTGATCTCTAAGGTGCGGATGTTTCCACTAGCCTTGCGGGTGCTGACTTCGTTCTCTCCAACTCGTCTTTCAACTGCTTCTATTCTCTCTTTGATAGTCTCGGCGTCTTTGTTAGCTTGAATTTCGATGGATTTGACTTGATCAGAAAGATCTTCAAGCTTTTTGTTAAAGTGAATCGACATGTTATCAATTCTCTCATGAAGGATGGCTCTTGAGATGGCTTGAACTGCGATAAACTGCTTGATTATGGCTTCAAGCTGACTCAATCGATTACTCAGCTAGACGTTCTCATCTTGCTGGATAATCTGGTGAGGTAGGTGATGCATAGGTGATCTAGGTTTTACCATTGGAGGCGTATAGGGTTCGTTCAGGAATGCTCGGTAGTTCGGATTTGAGCTTCGAACTTCGTCGTTTAGAGATCGCGTATGTATTGTTCTTCTCTGCGTCTGGTGGCTTGAGGAGTGTTGTAAAAACCTCTCTCGTAGTAGGGATTTCGATTTATAGGGTTCATTGCTTCAGAAATTAAAACAAAAAGAACCGAAAAATGGAAATATACAAAAAAGGTGTTCTAGAGTCGATTTACCAACCTTTCGTAGAGTTTTGCGGAAAAGAAAACATGTGCCTTCCCCGGCAACAGCGCCAAACACTTGATGTTGTTTTCTGTGTGAGGGTTGTCAGGTTTTACCCTAATGAAATCACTAGCCGCAAGTGCACAACTGATTAATTGTAGTACTTAGGGATCGAATCCACAGGGAAGGAGTATATTTCCTGCAAAAGCTTTCGAAAAAAATATAAAGTAAGGAAGTCTAGAACCAGGCGGTTATTGTAGGGGTTTTGGTGGTGTTTTTAAAACGTAAAAACTAATCTTAATGAGAAAATACGGAAAGAAAACTGATCTAATAACTAAACTTAAAGAAATAGACTAAAAACGAGAAAACGGCTAGACCTAATTGCTTTGAATGAAAATCGATTAAGAGAATGAAAATAATGAACTGAGGCTTGAAATAAAATCTGTGAAAATCAATGGAAAAGAGGCGCTGGGTTTTAGGGAAGTTTTCTCCGGCGATGAACATTCAAAACATTGCTAAAGAGTAAATTTACTAAGATCCTAGCTAAACCTTTTCGAACTTGAGTCACAGACGTATGAATACGCCACTGTCGTGATCAAAGACAACTATCTCTCTCTACCCTGACCAGTAGGTTTCCATTCTGACCTTGGAAGAGAAAAGATGCAATATGCTTAAGACTCGTCAGCATTCACAAATCGCTCATAGTTAGGTTTCCACTCCTATGTTTGTTTTGCTCTCCCAAACTAGATCTGGCTCTGGATGAATACTTTTGTATCACCAAGGACTTGAATCATATTATAGTTCATGACGCTACTCCTATGCATTAAATGTAAATTCAGAAGAAAAAAGTTCTAGGATTCGGCTTCAATAGCTAATGGAATCCTCATCAAACATATATAACCCCATGGAAAATCCCTTTGACCCAACAATAAAACTACTCAGACATGATGAACGAAATAAAAATCATAGTATTAAAAAGTAGAGTAGAAATCGAAATTGAAGAAGAAACAAAAAGGATTCAAGAGATAGATCTCTATCTCCCTAAAAGCTAAAGTATGAAAAACCTTAAAAGAATTCTAAAACAATAAGAGCATAAGAGGAGATACGGATTAGGGTTCCTAAAACATGTAGTTATAGTACTCAAGACATTTTTGAGTGTCACTTAGAGTTTCTCCAAATGAGGGAATCATTTTGAGCTTCAGAAATGGACCTTCTAACTCGGAGATGGCTGGCCGCGGTCGGAAGGGACGTGGCCGTGGTGAATGAATGCTTGGCCACAGTCGTGTAGCCTCTGACCATGGTGAAATGGCTGTTGGCTGCAGGTGGAAATGCTTGCTGGCTGGTTTACGGGACATCTTGCTCTTCGCGTACCTTTTGATTAAACTGTTGGATTGCCAAGTTGTAAAGTGTGCTGGAAAGCTGATAGTTCCATCTTTTAGATCTCCAAATTTGAGCTGGATCAGACGGTGATAAGATCTTCTTTTGGGGGTGAACTTCTGACGGTTTGACTCTAAGCTGAAAATCTGGTCTTCTATCCATTTTGTTAAGCTTTTCCCTAATTTTCCTTAAAAGAGTCTTGGAACTACAAATACTAGAAAAACATAATAAAAGTACTTGAAAGAAATAAAAAGCATAGAAAAAATATTTCAAAACGATCCATAATAGTGGTCAAAATACGGTGTTATCAGGCAACGGTGCCAAAAACTTGGGCTTGCGGGCCTAGGGTTTGTTTTTAACAAGCCTATTGGTCCTCAAAAAATTTTAAATTTATAAAATCCTTAGTGTCTGCAAGCGCACAAATGTACGCTGTAGGACTTAGGGTGTCGATCCATAGGGAGGATGTCTAATCTACAAGAAACAACAAACTCGGAAGTAAGCAAAGTCATAAACTCATAGGGGTTTTAAGATTTTTTTTTTTTTATGGTTAAGAATCCTAAAGTAAACCTAAACTAATATTCACAGGAAATAAGATGCAATGCAAAATGAATTGTTAAAAGAATATCTCAAGCATATCGACTCAAACTATAGACTCTAAACTCATAGGTGGCGATTTAGACTTCTCCGGTTTACTCTAATTGATGTTTGGTGGCATTTCCAATTAGCTTCCAGGCGATTTATCTTCATTTGTTTCTGGGATCTGCATGGAACTAGAATATACATGTGTATGATTAACCAACTCTCGCCATCTTAATCAACTAATCACTCAGATTTGACAATTAACTCTCGCTCTCATGCCAGAAATAAGATCATGCATTAAAATTAAATCCATCTGCTCATATCTTCTCTACAGGTAGCTTCCGACTCCTATAGCGACAATGTTCTTCTGAAGCTATGTGGCTCTGATCGATCATAGGCTCAGAGAATAGGTCATGAATCTACTCTCATGCAATATGAACAACTTAGAAGAGATGAGATCCAGAATATGGTTTAGAAACTTAGAAATCCTAATCGATATGTATGCCTATTGAAAACTCTTCAAACAATTTGACTCTCTGGGACAGATCTACATGATGCAAAGAATGATAAAAGACATGAAAGAATGCAACAGATGAAACAGAAAACTTAATTAGATAGAATGAAGAAAGAACAATGGATCAGGGGAAGAATCCCCATCTACATAGCCTAACCCTAGAAAAACAAATTTTTGTGGCTCAAAATCTCATTACAAGAGCACACACCCGTTTAGGGCTGCTAAGAAATGTATTTATAGGTCCTAAGGTCTTCCAGGTCTCATTTAGGGCATCTCTGAAGAGAAATGGCAAAGTGGACTTTGATGTTGGGCCTTGTGGCTCGTCATTACTTCCACTGGGGGTGAAAGTCTTCCAGGGCAGGTAAAATTTCACTTTCCCGCGGGTGAAAGCCTTTCGGGGCCCGTGAATTTGGTCAACTTGTCATCCATGTATCTTTTGATTGCACCGTTGGATCTTTGTGATGTAAAGTGCTATGGAAAGCTGGCTGTGTCCTCTTGACTATCTCCAAATTTGACAGTGAGAAAGTTTTCATTTAAGGCTGAACTTCTGACGGTCTGACTCTGAGCTGAAAAAGTGAATTTCTTCAATTTTGCCATCATTTTCCCTAAGTTTCCTGAAAAGAGCCTTGAAACTACATATACATAGAAATCATAATAAAAGTTCATAAAGCTGATTAAAACATTTGAAAAAGCATTTGAAATCAATGGTGAAAATGGGTACAAATACGGTGTTATCACCTACATCCTAGTAAGTTCTCTTTTTCTTATCTTTTTCATACATTCATACTCTTTTCTCATCCAAGCTCAATTGAATTCACACTGAGGACAGTGTGATTTAAGTCTGGGGTAGGATTTCATCCATTTCTAACTATCTTTCTTTCATGAGTCTTGCATTATCTACATTTTTCCTGTTTTATTTAAAGTTTTTCAAAATGGTTTTCAAACAAAATATGTTTTTAAAGGGAATGGTAAACATAAAACGATGATAGTTGACTGTGTACTTTTAGACTATTCTCTAGAGACATGCTCATTCGTGATTTAGGACTAGAAAATGTGGTAGCTAAGCACATTTGAAATGAAGCACCCTAGAGGAATTTGAATGATTTCGATTTAGATGAAGGAATACACTATCTCTGTTTTATTTGGACTTAACATTGACTTAACTTTATCCTTTTACTAATCTTTGTTGATCCTGAATGGCTAGTTCATCTTTAGCTAGTTTCCCACCTAACCCAACCTATTTCAAACCACATGAATTGTTGTTTTTCATTGTCCTATATGCAGATGTGTACAAAAACGTTGAGAGAAAGAGGATCAACACAGTTTTCAGTCACTGAAGACGGAGACTTGCGATTTCTAGAATGATTCAACAAAGGAGGGCCTTGTTTGCCTCAGAAAAACTTCAAAACATTGGTATATTTTCGTTCCTTAAACTCTCTCTTTTAATAAAAGGTGTTTCCCCTTTCGAATAAAAAGAAAAAAAAGATAAGAAAAAAATGAGAAATGGGTGCTTTCAAAGGCGTCGCTTTGAAACTGAAGAACCCTAGAACAAAACTTTGTACTCTCTTCTCACCAAGTCGAAGAAAACTATGGCGAATATTGACAAGGCTATTATGTCTTTGTCTCTAGATGAGGAAGAGGATGTTCCCTTTGTGGTGCCGAACCTACCAAAGTATTGTTCGTGTGAGAAAAACGTGATGAGCATCATGGATAGGACTTTGAATCCGGAATGTCAAAATATGGCAGATCTATCCTGGATATGCCAAGGGAAGTGGCAGGTTTACAATCGTGTGCGAGGTGTAGCTCTATCAAGTGAGCGTTTCCAGTGGATATTCAAATATAAACATGATTTGGAGGAGGTTTTGAAGAAAAGGATATGGAATTTCAACGAGTGATCTATTGTTATAGATCGATGGGTGGAAAGACCACCAGAGGATTACCTGAAGTTTATGCCGGTGTGGATACAGATTCGTAATATCCCGGTGAACTACTATACGGAGGCATCCATTTATGACTTGGTGGATATCATTGGCAAGGTGGAGGAGATTGCTTTTGACCCGGAGAAACCCCAAAGTAAGGATTACGTGCGTGTGAAGGTAAAGTTTGATGTGTCAAAACCAGTGAGAATATCAAAGGCGGTGATCCTTCCGACTGAGGAAACCACAACGGTGTGGTATGATTTCAAGAGAATTCAAAAGTGTTGCTACAACTGTTAATGTCTAACTCACGAAAAGGATAAATGCCCTCTGCTAATAAAGATGGGAAAGAGAAGGCAGAGGCTCGGAGAAGAAATGTAATGGAGGCAAAGCAGAGTATTGAGCCAATACTGAGGGAAGGCGATCCACTGTTTGGTGTTTTAACTGAGGATCAAGTTCGAGTGGACCCTAACTCTAGTCGTCAACGAATCCATCCAGAGGTGATGCAAGAGATGAGGATGTACTTACTTGCTGCTGAAGGTACAGAGAGAAAAGTAAGAGAAAAAATGGTGAAAGTATCAATTCAGGGTCTAAAATCTGATACTCGAGCACATAACTTGGTGTTGAGACCCAAACAAACCCCGCTGATTACAAAGGATATTGACAAGGGTAAAGGTCTGATTTTCTCTGGCGAGAATGAGGAAAAACTATCTGACAAAACAGACACAATTCCAACCGGAGAAAAGCTGATGGCGTCTGCTATAATGCTGGTATAGCGATGAGATGTGTCCTACTTGTTGATGACACTTCATCGGAGCGAGCAGCTGTAAATTTTGATTCTGCTTGTTCGACTTTCAATTCGGTCTCGATGGGTTTTGACTCTGGCTCCTCTGATGCTATTTCGTCTGGTGTGAGAACTAGAAAACCAACAGTTGGACGAATTGCTCTAAATCAACTCGGAAATTTTCAAAGGGTACAAAAGGAAAATCTGATGGAACACAAACAAAGCTGATGGAAGGAAGTGTCTCTACAGAAGAGGAAGTTGTTGAGGAGGAGATGGTGGCATCTAAAATTGCCAGGCATAATGAGAATGAGGTGGTCTCGAAGAAGGGACCGCCAACGCTTTAATGAGCATTCTGAGCTGGAATTACCAAGGCTTGGGCCGGGCACAAGACTTGAAAATTCCCCGTCTCATGGAGATGCGTCAAAAACATTTCCCTGAGATCACATTCTTAATAGAGACTAAGAAAGGTAGGAATGGTGTGGTGGATATTCAAGCGTGGTTGGTTATAATAGGGTTGTAACAGTGGAACCTATTGGCTGGAGCGGTGGTTTAGCTTTGCTAGTCAAGAATAATGTATTGGCGGATGTGAAGTTTGCAGACAAGCATTTGATCAATTGCGTTTTACAGTTTGGTTCTTTTGAATTTTATATGTCTTTTTTTATAGGAACCTGAGGTGAAAAGAAGAGCTCATGTATGGGAGAAACTGATGCGAATTAGTGTGCAGAGGAAGGAAGTGTGGTGTATGGTTGGGGATTTCTACGAGATTTTTCACAATGGAGAAAAACTTGGGGTCCAAAGAGAAGTGATGGAACTTTCAAGGACTTTGCAGAGATGCTGCGCACTTGCGATATGGTTGAGCTCTTAGGAAGTGGTGATGGCTATACATGGGCTAAAATGAGACAAAAACATTGGGTTCAGAGCAAGATTGATAGATGCTTTGGGAACAAAGCTTGGAGCAATATTTCCCTCATGCAAACCAAGTTTTCATGGAGAAACTTGAGTCTGATCATCGGCCAGTACTTGTCAATTTGATGAGTATAAAAAATGAAATGAGGGGATCCTTCTATTTTGACAAGCGTCTCATTGGGAAGCCAAGGGTAAAGGAACAATTAAGGAAGCTTGGCTTGGAAGACATCTGTCAGTCCCAATGAGTTTAATGGAGAGATTATGAGCATGCCGTAAGTCTCTCAGCAAATGGAAAAAGGATAACAAGAGCAACTCTATGGATAGAATTATGCAAACGTGCAAAGATTTGGAGATAGAGGAATCTTCTTTCTATCCCCGATTGGATTTATGCAGGAAGCTTAAGTTTGACATTGCAAAAGCATGTAGAGAGAAGGAGAGTTTCTGGAAGCAGAAATGCAGAAAGAAATGGCTGCAGTTAGGAGATATGAACACCAAGTTCTTCCATGCCTCGGTGAAAGTTCAGAGAAGGAGGAATCAGATCTAATATCTGGTTGATGACCAAGGTGTTAAAGCCACATCTGCAGGGTCAATGGGTGCTGTAGCTGGGACTTATTTCCAAAACTTGTTTAAATCCACAAGAGTAAGAAGCTGTGAGGATTTTTTTCAGAGGTTTTACTGAGAGAGTAACAAGAGCGGATGAATAGCTATCTTATAAAGGAGGTATCAGCGATGAAAATCAAAGAGGCGGCTTTCTCTATCAATCCCTCTAGTGCGCCTAGTGTAGATGGCATGAACGGTCTTTTCTTCCAATATTACTAGGACATACTCGGACCACAAGTAGTAGTGGAGGTTAAGCGTTTCTTTAAAATAGAGGAATTTCCACCATAATAGAATTATACACAAATCTGTCTCATCCCTAATGTCACTAAGCCGACACTAATGGTTGACATGAGACCCCATGAGCTTGTGTACGGTGGAGTAATGAGAATGAGGTGGTCCCGAAGGAGGGACCGCCAACGCCTCAATGAGCATTCTGAGCTGGAATTATCAAGGCTTGGGCGGGGCACAAGACTTGACAATTCCCCGTCTCATGGAGATGCGTCAAAAACATTTCTCTGAGATCATGTTCTTAATAGAGACTAAGAAAGGTATGAATGGTGTGGTGGATATTCAAACGTGGTTGGGTTATAATAGGGTTATAACGGTGGACCCTATTGGCTGGAGCGGTGGTTTAGCTTTGCTAGTTTGGAATAATGTATTGGTGGATGTGAAGTTTGCAGACAAGCATTTGATCGATTGCTTTGTACAGTTTGGTTCTTTTTAATTTTATGTGTCTTTTGTTTATGGGGACCCTGAGGTGAAAGGAAGAGCTCATGTATGGGAGAAACTGATGTGAATTGGTGTGCAGAGGAAGGAAGTGTGGTGTATGGTTGGGGATTTCAACAAGATTTTGCACAATGGAGAAAAACTTGGGGTCCAAAGAGAAGTGATGGACATTTTAAGGACTTTGCAGAGATGCTGCGCACTTGTGATATGGTTGAGCTCTTAGGAAGTGGTGATGGCTATACATGGGCTGGAATGAAACAAAAACAATGGGTTCAAAGCAAGCTTGATAGATGCTTTGGGAACAAAGCTTGGAGACAATATTTCCTTCAAGCAAACCAAGTTTTCATGGAGAAACTTGGGTCTGATCATCGGCCAGTACTTGTCAATTTGATGAGTAGACAAAATAAAACGAGGGGATCCTTCCATTTTGACAAGCGTCTCATTGGGAAGCCGAGGGTAAAGGAAGCAATCAAGGAAGCTTGGCTTGGAAGACATCAGTCAGTCCCAATGAGTTTAATGGAGAGATTATGAGCATGTCGTAAGTCTCTCAGAAAATGGAAAAAGGAGAACAAGAGCAACTCTATGGATAGAATTATGCAAACGCGCAAAGATTTGGAGATAGAGGAATTTTCTTTCTATTCCCGATTGGATTTATGCAGGAAGCTTAAGTTTGACATTGCAAAAACATGTACAGAGGAGGAGAGTTTCTGGAAGTAGAAATGCAGAGAGAAATGGCTGCAGTTCGAAACTTTTCCTAGAAACTCTTTAATAAAAGAAACTCTGCAATGTTAAAAAAAAAAAAAAAACAAAAATGAGAAATGAAAGGAAATAAAAATCTTAGAGAATCTAGGAGGATCAAATTTTATCTTTGAGGCAAGACTTGGTTCGATTATTTAGAGTTTTGGAGATCATCTTATTGATTCCCGAAAAAGATCTAAGTTTGGGGAAGTAGCTGTTTACAACAAAGGAGGAAGGATTATGCAACAACACTTGGCAAGGAAGAGTGACTGAAAATGTGGGCATCAACAGGTCCTGAATGATGTCTTTGATGAGAAATTCACAATTTGCACTTAATGAATGTAGAGAGCTAGTTGATTGGAATTGAAATTTATATTGTTTAGATTTTGCATGACGGAAAAAATGGACTAGTATCTTTTGTGTCTTGGTAAGAATTCTCTAGACTAAGTTGTGATTGTTGTACAATCAATGGACACAGTTTAGAGGTTTAATTTCTCTGAGATTTGTGCATTCCCTATTTTTTTTTTTCACTTCACCTTGCTTTGATTTTTGTTTTGTCTGAGGAAAAACAAAGGTTTAAGTCTGGGGGAGTTGATAACACCATATTTTGACCACTTTTATAGATAGTTTTTAAATTTTTTCTTATTTTTTTATTTATTTTAAGTTTTATTATTAGGGTTTTCTAGTACTTGTAGTTTCAAGACTCTTTTCAGGAAACTTAGGTAAAAGCTTTGCAAAATGGATTGCAGACCAGATTTTTAGCTCAGAGTCAAACCATCAGAAGTTCACCCTCAAATGAATACCTTCTCACCGTCTGATCAAGCTCAAATTTGGAGATCTTAAAGATGGAGCAGCTAGCTTTCCAGCACACTTGACATCAAGACAATCTAACGGTTCAATCAAAACTTAGGCGAAGAGCAAGGTGTCAAGTCAATCAGCCGACCAGCCTTCCGGACCGCAGCAAACACTTGGTGCCCCATGACCATGGAGAATCTACGTTCAGACCCAAAAAGACCATTTTCAAGCCAGTTCGATTTCTTTCTTCAAGGAAACCCTTAGTGAAGTCCATAAATGACTTAAAGACTATAAATACTTTTTTTAAACCCTAAGCCATGGTGCTTTTTGTGTTATTCATTCTTTAGAGTAGTGTTAGTCGTTTTTCAGCTTTTAGGTCTACATAGATAGAGATCTATCACTTGAACCCTCTTTGTTTCTTTTTCAATAACAATTTCAATATAGCTTTTCAATACAATGTTTTTGCTTTCTTTAATCATGTCTGAGTAATTTATTTGTTGGGTTTAAGAGAATTTTTTATGATGATCATATATGTTCAATGAGGATTTTATGAGCTACTAAGCCGAATCTTAGAACTTTTTTTTTCTAAACTTATATTTAATCCATTGGAGTAGCGTCATGAACTATAATCTGATTTAGGTTCGTAGTGTTGCGAAAGTTTTTATTAGGAGCCTGATTTAGTTTGAGAAGAGCATTTCTGTCATAGGAGACGAAAGCTACCTATGGGTGAGTTGTGAAAGTAGAGGAGTCT